CAGCCCTTGTTCCCTGCGCTTCACCCACCCAAAACAGCGCTTCGTAGCCCTATATGGAGCTCCACCAAAGGGTCCCAGCGGCACCGCCCGCATGCGTCCGCCACCACCCTGCGCAGCCCTTGCTCCCTGCCTGCGTTTCACCCACCCAGTACAGCGTTTCGTGGCCCCATAGGGAGCTCCACCGAAGGTCCCAGTGGCACCGCTCGCATGCGTCCGCCACCACGCAGCACAGCCCTTGCTGACCGCGTCTCGCCCACCCAGTACAGCGTTTCGTGGCCCCATAGGGAGCTCCACCGAAGGTCCCAGTGGCACCGCCCGCATGCGCCCGCCACCACCCAGCACAAATGCTGCATTCACAACTGCATACGGTTGGGTCCGTCGCCAGGCTAATTTTCCGAACCATCCTGTGGTGTTGGGTCATCGTTTTGAAGAGACGTTGCCCCGCGTTCCTCCTCCTCCCCCGTCCTCCCCCCTCCTCCTCCTCCCACACCCATTCTGGCACACCCCTCACACGTTTCGTGGCCCCATAGGGAGCTCCACCGAAGGCCCCAGTTGCGCCCGCATGCGGTTCCACCCCCCATTCTGGCACACCCCTCACACGTTTCGTGGCCCCATAGGGAGCTCCACCGAAGGCCCCAGTGGCTGCGCCCGCATGCGGTTCCACCCCCATTCTGGCACACCCCTCACACGTTTCGTGGCCCCATAGGGAGCTCCACCGAAGGCCCCAGTGGCTGCGCCCGCATGCGGTTCCACCCCCCATTCTGGCACACCCCTCACACGTTTCGTGGCCCCATAGGGAGCTCCACCGAAGGCCCCAGTGGCTGCGCCCGCATGCGGTTCCACCCCCCATTCTGGCACACCCCTCACACGTTTCGTGGCCCCATAGGGAGCTCCACCGAAGGCCCCAGTGGCTGCGCCCGCATGCGGTTCCACCCCCATTCTGGCACACCCCTCACACGTTTCGTGGCCCCATAGGGAGCTCCACCGAAGGCCCCAGTGGCTGCGCCCGCATGCGGTTCCACCCCCCATTCTGGCACACCCCTCACACGTTTCGTGGCCCCATAGGGAGCTCCACCGAAGGCCCCAGTGGCTGCGCCCGCATGCGGTTCCACCCCCCATTCTGGCACACCCCTCACACGTTTCGTGGCCCCATAGGGAGCTCCACCGAAGGCCCCAGTGGCTGCGCCCGCATGCGGTTCCACCCCCCATTCTGGCACACCCCTCACACGTTTCGTGGCCCCATAGGGAGCTCCACCGAAGGCCCCAGTGGCTGCGCCCGCATGCGGTTCCACCCCCCATTCTGGCACACCCCTCACACGTTTCGTGGCCCCATAGGGAGCTCCACCGAAGGCCCCAGTGGCTGCGCCCGCATGCGGTTCCACCCACCCATTCTGGCACACCCCTCACACGTTTCGTGGCCCCATAGGGAGCTCCACCGAAGGCCCCAGTGGCTGCGCCCGCATGCGGTTCCACCCCCCATTCTGGCACACCCCTCACACGTTTCGTGGCCCCATAGGGAGCTCCACCGAAGGCCCCAGTGGCTGCGCCCGCATGCGGTTCCACCCCCCATTCTGGCACACCCCTCACACGTTTCGTGGCCCCATAGGGAGCTCCACCGAAGGCCCCAGTGGCTGCGCCCGCATGCGGTTCCACCCCCCATTCTGGCACACCCCTCACACGTTTCGTGGCCCCATAGGGAGCTCCACCGAAGGCCCCAGTGGCTGCGCCCGCATGCGGTTCCACCCCCCATTTCGGCACACCCCTCACACGCTTCGTGGGTGGCTCCATGGGGAGCTCCACCGAAGGCCCCAGTGGCTGCGCTCGCATGTGGCTCCTCCCCCCCATTTCGGCACACCCCTCACACGGTTCGTGGCCCCATAAAGAGCTCCACCGAAGGCCCCAGTGGCTGCGCTCGCATGCGGTTCCTCCCCCTTTTTCGGCACGCCCTTCACACGTCTCGTGGCCCCAAAGGGAGCTCCACCGAACGCCGCAGTGGCTGCGCCCGCATGCGGTTCCACCCCTCATTTCGGCACACCCCTCACACGTTTCGTGGCTCCATAGGGAGCTCCACCGAAGGCCCCAGTGGCTGCGATGGCATGCGGTTCCACACCCCATTCTGGCACACCCCTCGCACGTTTCGTGGCCCCATAAAGGGGCTCCACCAAAGGTCCTAGTGGCACTGCCCGCTTGCGTCCGCCACCGCCCAGCACAGCCCCTGTTCCCTGCGCTTCACCCACCCAGAACAGCGCTTCGTAGCCTTACAGGGAGCTCCACCGAAGGTCCCAGTGGCACCGCCCGCATGCGTCCGCCACCACCCTGCACAATTGCGGCATTCACAACTGCATATGTTTGGGTCCTTCGCCAGGCTAATTTGTTTGGGGACTATTTTTGGCTATTCCTCCTGTGAAGGGACACGCTCGACTTAAATCGGCGGTGGACGAACCTCCCTTTAGGAAAACTCCCCTTCATGAAAACGGCCTGGGACCTAAACCGAAGGACCTGGGCCCGCAAAAATGACGGCCGCGGCGCCCTCTCGCGAACCGAAAACTGCCAATTCCTGAATCGACGTGTCAGGGTAGGAGGTCTAGCCACCCCGGACAGATGCACTGACACGGCGGCGACAGCGTCGGGATGGAGAACATCGGGCTCTGGATAGCACTCCACGACCCCCGTCGACTCGACTGTCTCAATGATTCGCCAAAAAGACCCCCTAACCCTCTGGGAGGGGGCCTGAGTTACGAGGGCCAGAAGGAGGAGGGGGACCAGGAGGAGGAGGAGGAGGAGGAGGAGGAGGAGGGGAGGAGGAGGAGGAGGGAGGAGGGAGGAGGAGGAGGAGGGGAGGAGGGAGGAGGAGGAGGAGGAGGAGGAAGGAGGAGGAGGAGGAGGAGGAGGAGGAGGAGGAGGAGGAGGAAGAGGAGGAAGGAGGATGAGGGAGGAGGAGGAGGGAGGAGGAGGGAGGGGAGGCGGGGAGGAGGTCCGTCCGCGCTCGGCTTCAGGCACGAGGGACCACCCCGAGTGCGGCCGCCACACCCAGAGCCCGGCTGCGGCGACGGCGCCCCCCCCCTCCCCCCCCCTCCGCCTCCTCCTCCTCCTCCCTCTCCTCCTCCTTTTTCCTCCTCCTCCTCTTCCTCCCCCTCCTCCTCCTCCTCCTCCTCCTCCTCCTCCTCCTCCTCCTCCTCCCCTCCCGACGGCGGCCCGACGGCGGCCTGACGGGCCCGTCCGCCGAGAACGAACGACGAGGCCCGGCCTGAAATTCGACGCGAGCGCCCGCTGCAGACAGCCCACGAACACTGTGGGAGAGGGCCCTGGGACACACACAAATAGATAGACACAGGTCCCAGGATCCCCGCTATGATTTTTCAAGCTTCTCTGGGTTGTCGTCTTCCTCCCCCCTCGTTTCCCATATTCTCCAATGCTTTTCTGGGGAGCTGACGATTCACTATGTCAGTGTGCTTTTCCCCTCCTGAAGCTGGACCGTCAGAGTCCAGGACGGGCTCGTCAAAAGGCGTCGGCTGACCCGAGCTCCGGTCAACTCGAGTCCCACGTTCCTTTGGTTGACCCAAAAGGGAGTCCAGCTGAAAGGGGGTGGTGCAATAGGTTTGGGGCAACTGTATTGCAAATGTATGGTGCCATAGAACTCTATTGCACAGTACTGCGGCTACTGTATTGCACGCGAAAGCCCAGCAACACAGTTGCGCCCCAGAACGTATTGCACGCCCCAAATCTACTGCTTCCCACAAATCTATTGCACCACCCCCTTTCAGCTGAACCCCTTTTGGGTCAACCAGATTGGATGCTCGTTCTGGGGACCTTCCTGGAGCCACTCGCTCCACTCGTGCGTCGAAGCTGCGTCGAACGTCAGTCGAGTTGGGTCGACCCTGGGTCGAACCTGAGTCGAACCTGAGTCGAACCTGAGTCGAACTTGAGTCGAACTTGAGTCGAACTGGGGGTCGAACAGATCCGTTGGGTGGGCTCCAGGAAGGTCCCTGAAACGAGTATCGAAACCAGACGTTCCCCCGACGAGGAGGTGAGGGACCGAGGTCACGCGCGGCTATCTGCCGCGCCCGCCTCGGGCAATCCAACGCCACCCCGCTGCGGCCGCCCAGCCGCGCGCCCCCCGGAGACGACGAAGCAGAGAGACAAGGCTCACATCGGGTGAGGATACATCGAGAATCTCTGAAATCCGGCGGTTCTGCCTCCTCCTCCTCCCCCTTCTTTGCCTCCTCCTCCTCCTCGTCCTCCTCCCTCCGCTCCCCGTCCCATGTCCCGAGCCTGTGGCAGGGTCATCAGCTCGTCGCTGTCGTTGGCGTCGTGGTCGTGGTCGTGGTCGTGGTCGTCGTCGCCATCGACATCGTCGTCATTCTGGGTCGCCAGCACTGGCCGGAAGGCCTTTACAATCGAGAATCTCTGAGTTTTGGCGGTTCTGGAGGATTTCTTGGGCGCCGCGGCCTTCTCGGAGCGTTCCGGAACGCCCTGGAAGGGATCGATCCTCGTCCTGCAACCCTCCTCGAAATCCAACGCCAGCTTTCGCTACCTCCCCTCGACCCCCCGTCCCCTCTCCAGTTTCAATGTTCGGCGACGCGCGCCATTTGGCCTGCGGTGTCCGAAGAAACACATAAGCCGCCAATTTCGACGCGAATCGGGGATCTTCTGACCCGGGTCAATCCAGACCCGGGTCAGCAGGAAACCAAAAAATGCAATGCAGGAAAACAAAAACTGCAATACAGGTCTTCGCAAACCCGGGTCAGCCAATAGGCGCGGCCGCCTCGCGGCCACGAGCGGCTCGCTAACCCGGGTCAGCCAGAAGGGATCTTCGCAGGATCCTGCAGGATCCGGCGCCCTGGCTGACCCCCGTCTGCACTGACCCCCGTCTCGAGGCTCCCGAGCGAACCTTGAAACTTCGGGTCCGGGGGCACCGCCACGTGGCTTGATCTCCAGGAGAGCAATACACCCCCGCCCGACCCGACCCCGCACCGCCGCGCGTGCCCCCCGCGGGGCGC